AAAGGTAATTAGTGAGTGAAAGAATCACGGTAAACTTGATCATCAACAAGAAAACACAAATCATTTATATCTTTTCTACATAACCAAATAAAACTTCGATCCTTATCGTATTCATTGTCGGACAATGTGGCAGGACGCACCCGGACATGAAAAAAGCGCATGTGCAGAGAATGACGCATCCCCAAGGTCACCATCGCGACAACACGTTTCGGATAGCAGGTGCGTTGCGCGGAGCTCACCACACGCGGATTAGCAACATACGACCAGCGGAGTGGGGCTGAAAGTGTTCACGATCGGAACACCGCCATTGGCTGTACACAAGCGACAAGTGAACGACCGTGATTGGCCATCTAGCCATCCTGTATATTTACGCAGAAGCTCTGTATGTTTTGTCCTGGCAGTACAGCCATGTCCAGGGTTCTCTGTCGTGTAGTCCGGCCGGTGTAGTTCATTCAGGCGTAACCAATGGACTGCCACCCACGATACAACACAATGGCTATTAATTTGTGAGACACAGACAAGTATAGAAAGTTCAGAACGCAACTCGGGGGGAACATCATGCTTCATCTGGATTCTCAGATGAACACTGGATTTAGCCACAGAATAGGTATGAAGAATGAATAGATTGCGCAAACAAGTTCTATTCCTACAAGGTGGTCGGATTCTACCGATCCAGTCGAGAAAGCCTGACCATTCTCGTGTGCTCGGGGATGAAAATATCCCTCCAGCCCTCCAGCGAAAAAGCTCAAGTCCAGGATCCAATCAACAGTAGACAAGGCGACACGAACTGCACGACTGTACTATACTGTACTATAACTTATCCGTGTGCGTGTTACTCATACGACTAACTTACGCAACAGAGTGGCTTTAATCAGCAAGTCACCAAAGTCACGTTTCTTTCGGGGAAAGGGAAAGTTAGTGAATGTGTGTTTTGTTGGAAATCTCTCAGGCCACTTTGGTTGTCCACAACGACAGATCTCGATAACCCAAATACAGCAGTTTTATTCACTTTCGCCCCTATATTGAGATCGTATGTATCAATGTACCATTCAATATGGCTGGTCTATCTCGCTCATCTTAGCATAGAGATAAGAACAATCAGTAATAATGAAGGTCAAAAGTGAACTACTGATCTGAAAGCTTGAAGTTTTACAGATTTTCAACGCGGTCCAATTTTTCCTCTTTTCTGGTACAACTAAATGAGTGATTTCCAAAACAAAGCTGTCGTTTCTCTTTGTTTCCGAAGCAGTACGGATTGATTTTGCAGGTAAGCTGAGAGTAACCGTGTGTGGTGCGAACCCCGGGCTTCCGAACTGAACGTGGCCACTGAACGTGTAATGCAGTCAGTCTGCTTTGGTTCACCTAGTAATGCTACGCCACTCAAATGACCCCACACTAATTCTGTAACGGTTTATGCTCAATGCGCGAAATACTGAAATACATTGAACTACAATGAAATACAATAAATACACCAGCCGTAAAAACATGATGGGCCTATGTAAGTTACTGTTGCGGGTTCATCATCATCATCATCATCATCATCATCATCATCATCGACAGCATGACATCATTGTTCAACACCGATGCTTCACTGCCGCACAACCATGATTTGTTTGAAAGCCTTATTGTAAAGAAAAGAACAAAGGTGGACGGGGAAGAGACTTAGTGCTAGCTTAACACAATCATTCCGAGGTGCGTTTACCTCCAGACATTCACTGAGGCGATCTGTATAGGAACTGACAACACGAACGCCACTGACCTCGGTTGGCAGTCATATCTTATAGTGTCTCCAACCAGGCACAGTGAGGATCACGCGGTCCCCATCCTGGAAGGCGAGTAGCACCGACAGCATCCAAGCGTTTCATGATCTCCTTCATACTCCCCTGCCAAGTCAAGGGTTGGCCACCTCTCTGTTTCTTCAGGTTTGACACCTCTGTCAGTTTCTGACTCCAAAGGAAGGAATAACAGGGAGGGGGGGGGTAAAACACTAGCCAAACACCTAATCCTGTATGTCTCATTTCAGTTTCAAGGACTGTCATGTGATAGTGACTTCTTGATTTCAACCGATAATACGTGAGGCAATACCTCCAACCATTCATGAGCTGAACAATAAGGCAAAGTGACTGACTCAAGATAAACCTTCTTAGTTGTCAAGTATGATTGGTTGGTCAAAAAATTAATCTGTAACAGTATTCGAAGGATAACATTGATATAGAATAGATGAAACCACTGCCATTTTTCCAGATAACAGGGAATTTGTAAATCAATTTGGTTTTCACGAGAGACTCAACTGAATCTCTCGTTTATGATAGTCTACAACTGAATGTGCTGCATACAGGCCGCCTCATGTTTCAGTTGGCACGGTTATCACAGTATATTTTCATAAAGGAAACTACTCACAAGTTTGCTGAAAGCTCTTCGACCGCCCGCGACATAAGGTTAACGGAAACTCGGGGACTGCGCCTACCTGATGAGCCACAAGAAGGGTGCAACCGGTCGTGGGCTGTCGAAGAGTTTTCAGCAACCTTGTGAGTAGTTTCCTTTACAAAAATACACTGTCATTTTTGTTCGCGAGGGCTATCCATTATCCACGGCACGACAAAGAAGTTGTACACCAATCAGTGCGTCTCAGTTTGATAGCATAGTAGAACGTGACTCTGAGATAGTTGAACTGTGATATCCAGGTAAAATTCCAGAAAATAGCAAAAGGTTTACACAGATTTACACGCAGGATTTTCAATCCACAATAAACTGCGTGGATTCCTTTTAGGCAATCGGAATACGACTTATTCGGGCTTAAAAATGTCAGCAGAAATTTGGTATCTAGAGTGCGTTGACCAGTTGATCTGTACACCGAGCTTGGCAACGTTTCATCACCAGTCGAGTAGATAACGTCAATGCGCGGTACACACTGGTGATGTCTCCTGGACTTGTGACGAAAGGTTTGCAAGATTACTGCTTATCTGCGCAAACCGGTTAGCTACATGCTGTCACTCGTAAGAAGAGTTTTCAGCAATTGCTGAAAACTCGTCGACAGCCCACGATCGGTTTCGCCCTTCTTGGGGCTCATCAGGTAGGCGCATTCCCCGAGTTTCCGTCAACCTTATGTTCTACTTGACCCGAATTGCACGAAATTAGAGAAATACACTCATTTGCAAACATTTATTTTTTTGCAGGGGACTCACCTGGAACGCAGCTGAATCTTTCGTTTGTGAAGTTTTCAGCGACCTTATGAGTAGTGCATTTCGAATAGACATGTATCGCGATATCTCGAATATCGTAGCAACTGAAACATGAGGCGGCCTGGTGCAGCACATTCACTTGCCTGGAAACATCACAAACAAGTGATTTAGCTGAGTTCCAGGTGAGTCTCTCGCGAAAACCAAATTTGTTTGCAAATGAGTGTATTTCGTCACATCGTGTCATGTTTTAAACGGAATCTCTTGTGTCTCAAATTCCAGAGTGAATGCGGTTCGATCTTAGGGAGGATGGGCTCAGTATGTTGAAGTTGTCATTATAGGTAATGGAAAGCCCTCCAGTAGGAGGTCAACTCAAGATATGTCATAATGTTCAAGCCCAAAAAACTCGAACTAATTGTTCGTATAAACTGGCCCTTTTTCACCAGTCCAAAATCTTTGTATCACGCACCATGACGCATTTATTTGACACGGCTTGAAGATACGAACACTGCTTGACTTTGCGTGGTGGTTGTGTGTTTCACCGCTGGTAATCGATTGAGGCTAACTACCTATGGAGAAAACTAAGTCTTGCATTCTGCCATCGGACAATATGTAATCATTCATCTGAGGGGACTGAGTGAGCGTGTAGATAACTTTCTGTTTTCGAACACGTGTTGATGTGGCATATGCAGAACACCGTATACGACGCTTATTGCAAACGTTGTTTACACCTGACGTCCAAATTGCCGAATGTGTTCAACACCATTCAGGTACAAAATGGATACATCAATCAAACGTTCTGGAAATCGATGTGCGCGTTTTGGACGCTAAGACAGTCGCGTTAACAGTACACACAGTTTACCTGCCGCGGATATTCATCCGTAATTAAGATAAAAGACACTCGCATGTATTTCGCTATTGGAAATCGATAACTGTCCGGTCCAGTAGTGTTTAAGTAGATGGATCTACATTCAGTGATGTTTTTTTTGAGGGAAGAGAGTAAACCAATGGGAATATTCGCCGCGTCAGAGTGCGAGCTGCGAAATACTCCGTTCAAACATGTATTAAACGGGAAAAGGTAGGTCCTACATATCACTTAAATAATATTGTATATATAGTAATTTATACGAATACTTTTTCAGTCTAGCCGGGTTTGTCAGCTTGTCCGAAAGACGCTGGGGCTGAATCCGGATAACGACAATTTGGAAGCCCCACAACAGTGGTATCCTTCTTCAGGGAATATTTTTTACTTATCACAGATCGGGGGTTCCGAAAGGAAAGGAAATTCCTCTCCGCAGAGTTAGGATGGGATTGTCGGAAAGGAGTTGTGAGGCACCAAACCAATTTTAATTTATGCCATGTTGTCTAGGGTCATCAGTGCGCTGATGGAATCATCCTGCTTATCGATGAAAGGACTGTCGATACATCGTATGGTTCTAAAAGTGATACTGAATAAAGTTATTTTTAAAAAAATGTTCCAGTCACACAACAGGGAAGGCGATGTATTTTACACGGTGACTTGTGGTCCAATCATGCATCGCTCCCCCAGAGATACCTCCCACCGCACATTGTGTTCTACGCTCCGGTCACGACATGGGTTCATACCCTGAAATGCCCGCTTCAAACCAGGCCCTGCATCCCCCATCTCTTCTATTTTTCCTCTGGCCTGATGAAGGAATCCAAAGCTGTGTGGATTTGACGCACCTGTTTCGGACTGTAATAATATTTCATTTGGGGAATGTAATCGCTGAGGCGTAAAAAACCCCACGTTGAACATCTAAGATACTTTGCATAGATGTACTGAGTGGAAAATACATGTGGCTGATAATGCAGGTGTATAATAGTCGAACAAATGAACATGACAAGGCGATAACGACAAGTTTAGTGAATAGTAACAAAAAATTTCGTCTATCAAATAGAAAAAATCATTCGAAAGATGATTTAATCACGGCGCTTCCACCTTGCTATTGATATACCGTTGGAGGAGACTCAACGTATGTCACCGAGCACAGCAACGCTCCGCAAAATCCAGTGATCTGATTTTTTGGAGCAAGTCAGCCTCAGCGTCGTTATAAAGTCTGTGGGGCTCCTAGCCGACGTTTTGTACACAGGAGCTAGGTAGATATCAGCTATGTCAGTTGCGTGTTTTCCCAACCTGGACGATTGGTCTTGCGTGGTCTCTGGCAGTTTGTTTCGTCCTGACAGCGAGTCCGAGGTTGTGGATGCTGTGAACGCACTCATAGTCAGGGAGTCTGCGACGTTTGGTTTTACTTTCTTCGTTTTTAGGCCCAAAACGAGAGACTTCATGGATGCACCCGAATTCGATTTGAATGACTTTGAACTATGTTTTGCCATAAATGCGCCTTCGTTGGATTCCAGTCCATCAAAGCAAACCCTATAACTGAAATCCAACTGTACAGTCAAGTGAACAATTGGAAGTAGATCGAACAGTTGTTTTGAACGCGGTTCAACCAGGCGGGCGTTTTTATGGTCCCAACAAGCACCTTGAAGATATAGTCCATGCACAAAAACACCTTCCGTCGGATGCTCCTTGATATCTTCTAAGTTTAGTCTGGTGACACGGTTCATGAGCATAACTTGGTCCAAAGTCCACGCAGACTGCTTGCGAGTAACTTCTTGTTTGAGTGCCGTTAGAAATCCCTGCAAAAATAGCATGGTTGTAAATAGGTGAGCAACGCGACAGACTCCTGCAACTGCGTGTTTCGCAATACGAACATTGACTGGATGTGATCGGGCAAAAGTTGTCTTTGCGCTACGGTACATCGAAATCATCAGCATACTAAAGTGCATTGCTCAGACCAGTGCTTTGTTTAGCGCTCCCAACGCGGGTGGCTTGCTTCATCTCGATGAGGATGTAGGTGGCTTTATGATAAAGGAAACACGACCAAGCACTTGGCCATAGAGGATAACAGTCTGTGGTTGGCGGGAGGTTCTAACGTTTCCCTAGGAAGACTGCCCTGCTGTCAGACAACCAACTGCATGCTCAAGGTCCATACAAATTCCACAGTCGCCCTGCTTCAGGATTCCCGAGATAGATTCAGTTAACATGCGCCTGAGAATGGATATTCTGACTGACGCGGAGTAGAACTCAGCGACTAGACCTACCTCATTAACCCCAAGAACGGTGAAAACGGTCATGGGCTGTCGAACAGTTTTCCGTCCTATGCTATCCGTTTTTTACCATAGTGAAGCACTCGGCTCATATGCAGATTAATGTGACGTGTAGAGATCACTCATTAGATAACGCGTCACAGACACTCAGATCAGGTGACAATTTTTGTTCCACTTGCAACCATGGCTGACAGCTTGTACACTAGAAATTCTCAACCATTTTTGTTCACGCGGCTACCACTTGCGTAACGCGGCAGGCTTATGATCTTGAACACATCAGGGCAAGTTGTATTCATGTTCGTGCAAGCATCAAACACGAAAGGACACCCCTGTCTTCACACTGCACACAATAACTACGCCTACAACTAGGTTCGACACTCGCGCGCGCAGGACAGGAAGTCAACAGAGCTCCGTAAGTCTCCACAGACAACTACGGAACACGTATAGCAGCTATACTGCAGACACGTTCCGCATCCAGAACTTCAATCAGGAACTCTCAACAAGTGTCCTCAAACGATAAGTCACTTTTTTGGCTTATTTCACTTTTCGCCTTGTGCCTATTTTATAAAGTGCACCTAACTATTGTATTCATCACATTCCAGTAAGACAGACATTTGTTAGTGCTTGTCACATTATGATAATCAACTTAATCCCGTCAGAACTAGAACACTAACGGGTACTTGCGGGGACTTGACTGATTTCCAGGGTAACGCGACTGTATCTGCTTGCACGTCTATCATGTGTGTGCCTCTCTCCCTCTCTCTCTCTATTGCATGCAACACGGACGAGCCACCACGAGCCCCGGACAGGAAAGAGTGACCTGCTTTTACACCCGTCTGATTGACCTTGACCCATATTTGCACCCCCGACTTCCGGTTTCGGTTTCGGTTGAATACACGGGTGTTGTTGCCACGCTCAGGTCTTCTCTTCTGTGTCACCCGACCTGTGCGAAAGTGTGTCGTGTGGATTCACTAATACCAATCTCTATATCTGCACATTTCAGAACCGGCTGACTTCCTGACGTCCCACGCTATACCAGCTAAAATCTCTTTTGCGATGTTCCCAAACAACCTCACCGATAGGGCGTCCTGTCAAAAAGATAGACGTCCATACCTTGAATATCCTTCCAGCTATAAAACGGAACGGCCTTCACGCTCACCGCCTTCTGAGCACCCAGCTGCCGCAAGCGGGAATCTAAGTGACCCCAATCGCAAAAGACCTCTGACCGGACCTCTATTTTCTTTGGTGTGAATCTTCTCGCGACCCAAGCAATACTACGTGACGTTCACAAACAAAATATTGGGCAAATGGTTTGTTAGTTTTATAGCTGAAACAGAACGTCATCCAAAATCCCAAAGAGACTGTGATGAGTTTTAGCCTCCCGCTAATCTTTTTACTCCCGTGTACTAACCTGTGAACCAATGAAACAGAGGATGGCTTTCATTTATTGTCAAGCCTCTTTCTAGTTATACAAAAGAGTAAGGAAACTGAAGAGCTATTATACCATAACAAGTGATGTCCCTTTGGTAAATCGGATACCGTTAGCGAGAGATTCAGCTGAGTCTCTCATTAACATCAGTGTGATTTACGAATGAATGTACTTCATCATATAAGCGAGTCCTCTAACTTGCGCTTCTTATGTGCTTTCGGCTGAAGTCAATTTAATCTTCCCGGTTTATGACAGCAAATGGCTTTGCCTGTTATCGCCTTGATGTTTCCCTTGAGTTTCCAGGTTTTGGTATCTCTGTCACGTGCCACTTACGGTGATAAAAGTTATGTTTTTTGTTCTCTTCCATCATGGTGCTATTGCGTAACATATATGGATGGCGTGACACTTTCCATAGTGTGCATCTCTTCAAGTTTCGGCGACCTGTGGCACTCCAGAACACTTGCTCGCTGACTAGCCCCAAAGCCGCAGTTGGTGCCAGGCCTACTAAAAGCAATGAATGCACGCAAACGGAGCTGCAGAACGAGTCAGCCATCGTGTCTTGATCCGTTTGATCTTGGTCTGGCTTGCGTGAACATGTGCATGTGATGACTTCAGTAGGTGGACGCCTAGATGGGAGCTATCTTCTGGAGCCCGTGGCCTGCTACCTTGCCTAGGAAAATTGGTCCAATCGCTGCGGCGACATGAAGTCAGGCAACAACTTCACTTCATCATCATCATCATCATCATCATCAATGTTAGCTGTAATAACCGCGTACTCGTCGTACATTGGTTGTAGCTGCCGCAGTTTCGCTCACCGATGATCTGGGGGGGG